TAAACTGTCGATGACATTCCGGGCACTCAAGAGAGGGATCCTGAGCATGAGGTTGGGAGGAATCACTCGGCGTGTCTAAGTGGCTCGTGGGATAATCTGGGGTCAATGCAATCACATCGGGAGGTCGGTCATCCATGGCAGATTCGACTGCTTGCTGAATCTTGTGCAGCAACGATTGGCGCAGTCGAAGGTTGTGGCTCTGGAGAATCGCCCAGGGAGAAGGTTGATTCAGTCGACAAAACATGTCCTGTGTGGATTCATGTGTTAAGTGAACAGGGGCCCTGATCATGCGTCGATAGTGCACATTAATGATGCTAACTATCTTACGAAAGCCTTTCTGGGTGATGCCCATTTCATGAATACCATACATGAGCGTTGGCACTATGCATTGATGGTACAATCGAAACCTGATGTCTTGCGGAACACATTGGGCTGTGAGCCACTTCCTCAGGGTCGAAAAACACATGTGAGTGGCCTGTGCACGTCGTGCTACTGTGTCCATTTCCCATGCCCTGTATCCTATAATCACTCCAAGGTACGCCGTTTTCGAAACCATGGGCAGTCGGATCGAGGAGTCAGGCATGGTCAGAAAAGGACCAGCTTTGGTGCGGACAACCCACCGTTTGGTGAATCGGTGTGCCCCTTTGCCCACGGCCCGAAACAAGACAACACTCTTGTCAAGGTTGATGGAGAAGCCATACATGCGAAAGACTCGAAGAATGTGGTCCAGGTCTGACAGGGCAGTGAGGCCATCGGCCAGCTGACTAGTGCGCCATCGCAAGTGCACGTCGTCCGCATAAATTATGACATGTTCGTGAATCCACTGGTACGAGTATCGAGCCGCCAGATCGGTGAGCACCAAATGCATACAAAGTGTCCAAAGGATCGGACCGTCTTTTGATCCCTGACGAATCCCTCGAGTGGCCAAAATCTCACCCACTAACTTTTTATGCGGTATATAGTATTTGTGGGGGGACAACAGTGTGTGAATCATGGTCTGGAGATCCGGGGGCAGTTGCAAGCCTAGAATGGCAAGGCTCACCGTGTTGCGGCTGACCGAATCAAAGGCCTTATTCATGTCTAACGAAACCTGCAGGCCGCCAAACATGCCATCCCTTGAATTATCCTGGCTGTACATGTGACAGTCGTCGCGAACCTGTCTGCAATGATGCGACACTCGAAGCAGACAATCAGCAGTACTCCTATTGGGGAGATAAGCATACAAAGGAAAGCAACGAAGTTTGTCGATGGTGTATTGCAACAGTTGAGTGGTGACAAAACTCGAAGCAACTTTACAGACAGGGTGTTGAAGGCATATCGGCCGAAGTGCTTGCGGTTTCGTGCTGGGCTTTCCCGGTTTGGGAATGAGATGCAGCCATCCAGCCATCCATTCATCAGGAGCTTGTGGGGGGGAAGCGCTCCACCAGTGAGCCAAGGCGCGATATGTCGAACCAACAAGTTCAGTGGCTAAAACTTTCCAAACAATGGCTGGGAGACATGGTGGAGCCACGGCTTTGGTGGCAGGCAGGCGCTGTAAGGCTGCATGCACGGTGCTCTCATCGAATGGCAAGACCTGAAGTGCGGGCAGGGCCGTTGGTTGAAAGTCTGGATCATGAAACTGAGTCCCAAAGTATTGAACCAGTTCACTAAGCTCTTGTGGGGGGCTCAATGGTTGTCCATGACCATCAAACATGTGAATTCGCTGGTACCGTTGCTTGGGACAGAGCGTGCGGATTCGTCGAAAGAAGTCAAATGACTGGTGCTTCATGGCCAAGTCAGCACCTTCCCGGAGGAAGTTTTCGAGTTTGGTCCGTTTATTGATCCGGCTATACTTTCTGATTTATTTATGCAAAGTACGATAGCGAGTCAATTTGCACCAACCCTGAAACACGGACTTGAGACAACAATTCGGCAAGGCCAGGACAGCCTTCCGTGCTAGCCACATCTGGGCACTGAGTGATCGAAAGACAGGATCCACCTGGGTCTGTCGTTTGACTGACGGGAAACATTGCTTACACAATTGTACAAGACTTCGTTCCAATGCCAGATTATTATCGATCGGTGATGACTGAACTGTTGTGGTAGCAATGGCCTGTCGTGCCTGAGTCAGGAAGGTGTCCCATTGCGGTGTTTGCTGAGTCCAGGCCTGTCGAAGGCGGAACCGGTTGATGCCTTCATGGTGTTTGGGATTGGGAGTTGGGTACCATTTGGACAAATGGAAGCTCAATGGATAGTGGCGTGGGCCTTGATTGCCAAACAAAAAGTCGAAGTCAGGGTGATGCTTCGGTTGCATTCGGCTCCAGGAAATCTGGTCCTTGCGCATCAACACGAAATCGATTCGAGTATTATGATTACCATGCACGAACGTGGGATGGAATACCCTAGTGTGAATAGCTGCCATGCGGTTATCCTGAACTAGTGCGCGAAACTGGTCCCGATCAATTTGAGCAGCTTTGGCATACTTGGGATCCTTGGTGAAAATATGCTGACCATCAAAATCAAGTGGTGTGTTATAATCACCGCCTAATACCAGAAGATTCCGAGTTGGGGTATGGTTGATGCAATTACGAAGGCAATCCCAAACTCTTTGGCGTTTGTTCAACAATTGCGAAACGTTCCCGCCTGAGTTCCATGCATGTTGATAGATGGCATATATGTCGTGAGGGCGGTACAAGTGCAATCTCACCTGCATGATCCTGCCGGGGATGTGGTGTGCAACCGAGATGGCTTCTCGTAAGATCAGGGCTGCACGAACCATCACGAGAACTGAAGCATACCGATCAGCCCCATGTAACACATGCCATTGAGGGGTACTCCATTCACTTGTCATTCCCCATCCCGTTTCCTGGGCGATAATAATGTCATATGGGGATCGATCACACCAGGCAAGCCAACTTGGATAGTGCAGCGATCTTGAAGCATTCCACTGTAGCACTTGAAGATGGCCTGATGCGGAAGGGGTCGGATTGGATACCCGAGGGCAGGGGAGCTGTCGACGACGCTGTGCCCATAACTGGCGTATTCGAAAGGGCACCTGTGCTGGGTACAAGGCTTTATTGCGATACATGGCTAGTCCGTAATCCAAGGATCGAAAACATGCTCGAATATACGATCGTTTTAATCGGTTGCACCGATTCCGAGACTGGACGAGGCCTAAGCCAGCTGTTTCCCATGCCTCGTGATGTTTCGCCCGAGGTGGTGGAGTATTATGGATATGAATTGGGCTCACGCGCTCTCCTAAAGCGGGAGAGGCAACCCTCACGCCCGGGATGGTGGGTGCAAGCATAGAAGGCTCATTTCGGTCCATCCCGCCTGGACTTGGGACCAGGCTTTGCAAATCTATGAAGTTCAAAAGGATGAGGAGCGAAAAAGTAGGGCTAGGCATGCTGCGGACACTCACAAACAACGCATAGCACGAAAGTGGAAAAAAAGAAAGCCACGCCCGACGCTCCCTTTCTTAATCTGCAAATGGCGCTTAATAATTCTTAAATATATCCTAATTAATAAAATATCAATCTAAGATATTAAATATAACGAAATATAGTATAAATTCCTTTTATTAAAAATATTTAAAAATATTTCTATCAAATAAAATCGTTCATTTCCATAAATAATAAATACTAGTATTCAATTTATACACCTTATAATAATATTATCAAAAAAAAAAAAAAAAACCCAAATACATAACATTTCATATTATAAATCTTAAACACTATCCATAAAAATATATCAATCATACATTGTACTATTTAATATCCAATTCAACTCCGACCTAAATATATCTAAATTTTTTATTTTCCTATATCAAATTAAAAAACACATCAATATACATATTTAAGATTAATAAATCATCAATTACAACAACTAAATCCAAATTCATCAAACAACTATATAAAAAAACTAAATTAGAATAGTATTAATTTAAGTAAAAAAAAAACATATATGCTATAAAAAAACAAATATATTACCTTTTTTCTTTCGCAAACAACCATTCCAAAGTTGGAATGTGATACCACCAATTGGCCGTTCAGGCAAATATGAGCAGCTGGAAAAGGCAATTGTTTCCCTTGGAAAATAGATCGTGGTTGCAGAAATTTCAAGTAACACGTGCATCGCTAGTAGTAACAGGTGCCTTACTAGTAGTAACAAGAAGCTATTAGAAACAAGTGCCTTACTAGTAGTAACAATAAGAATTTAATTAGAATCCGCAACCAAACCGGAGGACCAGTCCTCACAATTGAGCCTACAAATAGGCTCTATTCAAACAAAACATCGGGCTGGGAGAGTCAATGTGATTGAAACAGGGTCAAGAGTGATAAATGGTCAAGAAGCATTTCTTCACACAGGTTCAAGGGATGCGCCCCGCATGCCGAGTCGCTTGCGGCCTTCCTGGCTGCAATCATGGAGCCAAGTGTGAGACCGCTGAGCTGAGAAAAGGCTCAGCGAGACTGTCAGCAAAATTTGTGATTGCCAATGTTCATCTTGTGGAATGTCGCTGAAAAAGAGCGGTGCAAACAAACAGCTTGTGTCATCAGCCATATTCGACTCACCGTGGCTCATCAGCACAGTGGCGGAGCCCAGCAAAGCTGGCAGCAGAGCTGGAGGTGATAGGAACGCCTAAAGCTCCAAGCACCTCAAGCACCCACTCTCACGCGACGTGCACAAAATCGACGCCTCACTGGTTGCCACGGTTGCCCTCAGCGGTGCTCTAAAGGAGACGGCGGGAAGACGGTGCTTTCGCTGTCTTTGTTGCGTGGAAACACATTGGTGAAAAGATGCGAATCAAAAAGAAAACACACGGTGAAACGGTACGTGATCCCTACGTGCAGAAGCTAGCAAGCTCGTGAAACTTCCTGTCCAGCTGCGTCTCCAAATAAGAACTTCTCGACATCTTCAAGTGGAAACAGAAACATTTGACAAAGATTGGAAGGGCGTGCTCATGCGCACTCAAGAACATCCAGAACAAAAAACATGTGCCAAAACGTTGGATGCAAGTCGCCTCATGATTGAGGAGTGCCGCCCAGATTGCCCGCTAAAGCTCTTCTGCGACGATTCTTGAGGATTGCCCTCCAGATCCGCTGGACCTGGCAGGAACGGGTCAATCTAAGCAATCGTCCATCATTTGGCTTGAGTTGCGTGTTACGAGAATGGAAGCAAAACAAAGCACGAAAAAACATCTCTTTCACTGACGCCTACTTTGGAGACCCTCCTTCTTCCGGAGGCTTCTTCGGTACGTTCAAACATCTTTTTTTTTGCGGCTCTTGGAGTGAAAGCGGTTTTGAAGCCATGGAAGGCTTTACCCGGACCCGGACTGGACACGAATAAGATCTTCATGTGGGGTCCTGTGAAGCCGGGCACCAGTGATGAACAGTCACGTGTTTGCACGTGACCTTTGTGGGAAAAAGAGAAGACCATCAGATCTTGAGATGGAAACAATATCTTTCTAAGTGACGTGTCAATGAGATCTTCTCTAAATTAAAAGGATCATGGCTAGCACAACACGGCCATTTCTTCGGGCATCTAATGCCCCGAATGCGGAAGCTGGCCCTGACTCTGCCCGCGGAAGTTCGCAGAAGCGGCTTGAGCTCAACTCGCTCGAGCTGCTTCTTGTTAAGAAGACTGAGGAAGTGAAGAAGTTTTCTTACACTTCTCTCTTCATGTCACAACATCCCTAGCAAAGCAAAGCCACCATTCATCAACAGCACAGGGCTGGCACAACAAGCACCGATGAAGAGACAATTCTGCGGACGTCGCCGCTTCCGGGACATTCAATCGTCTTCCAGGACCAACTCCAGCAGCTGAATCCTCACAAATGCAAAGAGGGCAATCAGGCGAGGACCGCCCTTTTTGAGACCAAATTTGAGACTCAAAGGACATACGGCACCTACCTAATATGTTAAGTTTCCCCAAAATCTCGGAACCAAATCATTAGTGCGAGCGTGAGCCATCCATACTAGTAGCTCAAGTAAGGTGCTAGCTACTTGTAGTAGCTTACTTAATTAAGTAGGGAGGAGGAGGAGGAGCGGGCCAAAAGAATATATAGAAAATTGAGACTCAAAAAACATGTCTCATTGACCCATCAGACCCAACAATTGATCCGTGAGATGACTGACTCGTCTCCGTTCCAAGAGTCTCCGCTTGTCCATAAACGAACTTGATGCGTCGTAGCACTTCCGCCTTGGAAGTACTTGAACAGAACAACAGAACAACAGAACACAGGTCCTGCACCGGAAGAAGAACGTCAAGAAGTCATGCGATGGTTTTGAGAAAAACTAGACAAACATGTTGTGAAACTCGAACGGCAGAACCCTTCTGAGGCAAGATCTTTCAAGCTGGCATTCTTGGCTGGAGGGCCCCCAATGCCCAGTACCTTCGGTGAACTGCAAGTGCCACTGGGTGTCGTTCTCAAGATGATGTGTAAGAACAGTGAAGTAGGAAAGACGAAAGCTAGCTGCCCGAGCCGAAGCTACACCAGGTCGAGACCAAAACCTGGAAATCAGCAGTGCCTACCTACTGCTGTTAGATCAAGAGGCAATGGTTGGTCGAGGATTCACCCCTTCGCCATCATCCAGCCTCGGATTCGCAAAGCTTCTTTCGAGGTAAGATTTTTGCAACAAGTGTTCCAAGAAGGACATGTTCAGGTCTCTTCACAAGTATTGCCGTGTCCATAAGATCCCATAGTCTTGCTCAGATGGGAAGGGAGAAAGACAGAAATGGGATGAAATGGGAAGGTACATTGACAAGACATTTTGCAAAAAGACAGGAAACGGGAAGAAAAGGGACATGAAAAAAAACAATGGTGGTCCTTATCATCCTTCTCAGGTACCAAGGTGCTCAATAAGCTCAATGCTTCCGCCGCTGACTGAGAGGAAAGGTCCAATAGTGGAAAGAACTTCTTCGATTCCTTCCTGGCGTGCAGGAAGGAACGAAGTGAACGAAGTGCAATGTCTCTTTCACAAAGAAAGTGCTGAGCACAAAGGGCTTATGAAACATCAAGACACTTTCTGATCGACAGCCCACCCGCATGAAGGAAAATACATCCCATCACAACGTCCCGGTACTTTGTCACTTAGAGGGAGCTTCCTTGAAGAAGCGCTCGCACTAAGGATTTGATTCCTAGATTCTTAGGGAAACTTAGTTTTTGTTACTGTTCTTTTTTGCACCAGGGAAGGCTCGTTCGTTGGCGCTGAAGGTTTTTGCGAGGTGGTACGAGCGGCGTGTTGCCCGGCTTTCTGGGCTTGAAACAGTAACAGAACTGGACTTGAATCAGAAGGTGCCGTTTGTGCAAGTCTGCGGTGGGTGGGTTGCGGAGAGAAAGTATAGGCACTAGTAACTAGTATCAACAACATATTGGTGCAGGGTGCAGGTTTGCACTTGAAAAAACAAAGGCAAGATACTTGATCAAAGATTTGGCATGGAATCGAATCCACTGAAACTGATGTGCTTGAGCCATCACTGCCACCATCCCAACGCCATCAACTGATCATGGTGATGCTGACGAAGGTGGTGAGGAGCAACACGCAGCTCTACCCGCTTTTCATGAGCCTTTGCACTGCAAGGCTGCACTAAGAGTCATGGAGAAAGGAAGAAACCAACAGGTTGCAAGTCATGATCAAGCAACTCATCAATTGAAGGAACAAGAACAGAGACCTGACCGACCTGACATTGGCAGCTCAACAGCTCATTTCTTCGCGACGCTTTCGCCGTGGCAACTGCTTTTTCGACAGGTTGGTCCTCCCTGAAGGTTTGCATTTACCGTCCCGCCCTCAGTCGAAATGAGCTTCCTGCGTCCATGTCTAGTAGCTTACTTAGCCTAGTAGCCCACTCTCCCTTAGCCTAGTAGGCGCCTACTTACTTAATTGAGCGGGCTCAAAAAGAAGAAACTTACTCCTTGCTTCCCCTGCCCTACGCCTCGGTGGGGACCTTGAAGCCCGGCATCACCGCTTCCACTTCATAGATCTCAGGAAATCGGTCCAACATCGTCCTCGCTGGAGCCGACCCAGAACAAGTTAGACATGCAAACGAATGACATGCCCTTGGAACGGAGGGAAGGAAAAACATCTCCGGGTTGGTTTTTGGCTAGCATAAACCGAAACTACAGCTTTTGCTGCTAGCTTTGCTCCCACTTCGTACACCACGGTTTCGGCTATTCGGCGCCTTTCAATCCCCATCTTCACAGTGATGGCAGAAGAGGAGCACGAAGCACAAGAACCTGACGGCTGGCTGTTGAAACCAAACACAAAAAACACGCGCATTGGCCGGTCTGGTGCTTCCTCACTTCCTGCCTTGTTGGCTTTCTAGCAAGTGTTTTTCCATGCGTTTCTTCGTTGAACATGCCAGCAAAAGTACCGTTGTGCGAAATTGCCGACCCACGGGTCGAAGAGTCGAGTTGCACCTTGCATTTCCAGGCGCAAAATGGGCCCTTCAATCTCAATGAGCTTACAGTCACCTTTGCGAAAACAAAGGGCATCGCTACTAGGAGCAAAGGGCATCGCTACTAGGAGCAAGAACGCTACTAGGGGCTCCTGGCCGTACTACTAGGAGCGATCGGACGCTACTAGGAGCAAAGGAACAAGAACTGCTGACCACGTTGACTTGATTGATCCCAACCTCCATCTTTCTGCAGATATGGTCGTAGCTCATCCAAGACCATCCTAAAAGCAGAAAGCAAATCAAACGTGCAAGACCAAGAACATGGCCATCAACACCTGTCACCACTGCTAGGGGGGGGCTTGTCTGGCTGACGGAATTGCTCCAAGGCTCTCAATATTCTCCTCAGTCAAAGCAAGCTTTGGCCTTCCTTGCGAACCAGAAGTCTGCCGAAGACCAAAAAGGCTGTGCACGAGGGGCTATTAGGAACAAGAAGCTACTAGGAGCTCCTGGCCTTACTACTAGGAACAACAAACTACTAGTAGCAAAGGGCATCGCTACTAGGAGCAAGGACGCTACTAGGGGCGCTCCTGGCCTTACTACTAGTTAAGTATCAAATCATTAGAGGGAGCGCTTCTTCGCCCTCAAGCAGGGGTATCTTCCTTGAAGAAGCGTGAGCTATCCTGCATCCTAACCAGGAGCAAACCAGTCGCCCATACTTAATAAAGCGGGGAGGAGGCTACAAAAAGACATGTTCCCAAATCTCAACCATCCAACTTTCGGTGCGAACCCAGATTGCCGATTCCTTGTTGCTGGCCTGCTTCACTGCACCCCGAGGCCCTTGTGGAGAGAAAATCTGAGAGTGCAAAAGGAAAGAGCGATGGCAACCAACCTAAAAGCGCCGGCCTCCAAGCTAAGAGCGATGGTCTCCAACCAAAGGCGTTCCCCCGAAACCAACTTAAGTTTCCCTAAAACTCTAGGAACCAAATCATTAGTGCGAGCGCTTCTTTAAGAAAGCTTCCGGTAGCTACTAGTAGCTGCTACTTAAACTATTAGCGATTCCTCAATAGCTACTGGCTACCTGTACGTCCACTTGCGGCCTACCCCCCCAAAAAAAAGATACAAGAGTGCAGCGGTCCCGTCCTTGTTGCACTCCATCTTTGAAGGGCGACTCGATTTCTGCCCTCCGCAGGATCCTGCAAGTGCTTCGCTCTCTGAGCGTGTGGCGCAGATCCAAAAATTTGCTTTACAAGGAGCAAGCCATCTAGAAGCTCGAAGAAAACGAGCGCCTCCTGTGCTTGTGGCTGTGTGCGACCGCAAACACACCTGGCATCAAGCTGGTCTCTTTCGCTTGTCAACAGCGTTTCAGGGCCGCAAGTTGTCTTTGCTGGACCCTGTTCTTGGCTGGGCCGAAGAGCTTAGTCTGCTTTGTAGCTACCCTGTTTGCCATCACTAAAATCCAGAGGAAAGGCTGGCAGTTTCTGATGGGAATCAAAAAAACGCTCATGAACATTTGAGAAAGGAAGAGTTGCCTTTCCTTTGAGATCCTTCCCCGTCTCAGGCCTGCCACTGTGAAAGCCAAGTTCGGTCGGATCGCTCCAACTGGACGCTGGGAGACCGTCGGCCTGGCGCAACGACACAGGGTGCCACGCATGAGTGGAGAATCTCACAGCTTTGATCGCAAAGAAACGCCAACAACAAACAACAAAAATGAACAGGACATGTTCATAAATGTTCCATGTCCAATGGTTTCCATTGGTGTCCTTCTCTCGTAGCTGGAAGCCATTGCTAGTAGGTTGGAGGCCATCACTATTTGCTTAAGTAGCTAGTAGCTAGTAGCTATCTCTTCCGTACTTAAGTACGGAGGGGGGGAGCGGGATAGAAAAAACGGATTGCTTCGAAAAGACCTCTCCTTGAGTCTCTCGCCTTCCAAGTCTGCGTACCGACAAGCCGTCCAACTCGCGCACCGAGCCGTCCTGTCGGGTCGGACTTTGGATCGACTGAAGGGCATGCTACTAGCTTCTTGCTCCTAGTAGTAAGGCACTTGTTAAGCAGCTTCTTGTTACTACTAGTAAGGCACTTGTTACTAGAAGCGATGCACTTGTTCCTAGTAGCTTCTTGCTACTAGCAGTAATGCCAGGAGCGCCCCTAGTAGCGTCCTTGCTTCTAGTAGTGATGCCCTTTGCTCCTAGTAGCTTCTTGTTACTAATACTAATGCCATTGTTACTAGTAGCTTCTTGTTCCTAGTAGAATTCCGCCTGCGGAGGCAACACAAGGGCCATGACGGACGGATGTCGGGTGTTCACACTGCCGGACGCGAGTCAAGCGCCTGTGCTTTCGCGTGGATCTTAAGTGTTTCAGTTCCGCCCCGCTCTACGTTGAGGAGTTGGTCCCAATTGGTGCCAGTTGAGTCTGTAAGATTCTGTAAGTGTGCGCGATGCTAGCCACCTGGATGATGAGTTTGCAGAGTCCAAGAAAGCATTCTGAAGCCGAAAAGAGTTTCGCAGCGGCGGTTTGCTGAAATCTGAATGTCTCTGACTCTATGAATGTTCAGTCTTGGTCCTGGAATCCTGACTTCTTTGCTCTTCAGGAATTGTCCAAAGAGCATTGTCGAGTCTTGACCAACCAAACAACCAAATACCCCCAAGTCAGTTCAAGAAACACTTGAAGAGCCAAGTGACCAAGTGTTGCACTGAAAAGATCAAAAAAGAACATGACTTCAAAAACTGGCCAAACTCTTGTCCAAACGAGACCTTAAAACAGAAAACACATGAACTGACCAGTTTTTTTGAGGGATCTTAGGTGGATTGCAGAGTGTCATCGCCATCCCACCTGCAAGGCAGCCTCATCTCGCAGATCCATGAGTTCCTGGACGAATGACACGAGGCACATCGAGGCGTCGGTGTTCTCAACCGCACTGGAGATTCGGTTTGACGGATCGAAAGAAAGAGAATGACTAATGAGTGCTTCTAGCAGCGTTCTTGTTCCTAGTAGTACTAGTAGTACTAGTAGTAGTAGTAGTAGCAGTAGTAGTAGTAGTAGTAGTAGTATGGCCAGGAGCCCCCAGTAGCGTCCTTGCTCCTGGTAGCGATGCCCTTTGCTCCTAGTACGTAGCGTTCTTGTTCCTAATGATTCAGTCTTTAGACTTTGGGTGATGAGTGACTCCAGTATGACGGAGATGAGTTTTGGAGCTCCAAACATCTATTTGGTTCCCGAAAAGCATGACTCCCAGTGTGACTCGCGATGAGCGGGCCATCTTTTTGGAGACAGAGTAACAACCGCATGACCGTCACAGGTCAGACAAAAATCGACGGACACGTGGTCAAAAGGGGCCATCTGGCTTGCTCTCTTCACTTGTTGGCTGGACCTGTTTATCTACAAAGCTGTTGCATGCTATCTAGGAGCAAAGGATGCTACTAGTAACAAGTGCATCGCTTCTAGTAACAAGTGCCTTACTAGTAGTAACAAGAAGCTTCTAGGGGCTCCTGGCCTTACTACTAGGAGCAAAGGATGCTACTAGCTCCTGGCATCGCTACTGTTGCATGCTGTTGCGCTGGTCATTCCTGGTTTCTCCCTTTCCGTCCTGTCGCACCAAACCGGACACCACCGGCGCCACCCTTCAGGTTCCCCCTCACGGCCAAGCGGCCAAAACCAGTCTTTCGTAATGTATTCGTTCTGCTTCGCGGCGTCGCTTCCACCATCTGAGAAGTCGAATCGGAATCATTGGTGGGCTGTGACAGGTCCGAACGTGGTCGCGGTGAGGTGACCAACAGGGAGCGCAAATTGCAAACGTCCGAAACATCTGCACCAACAGAACCAAACAAGAGCAAGGACGCTACCAGGGGCTCCTGGCATCGCTACTAGCAAGGACGCTACTAGGGGAATGTCCGAAACATCTGTACGGACCAGCGAGCTCAAAGCGTGGCTGGCTCGTCTGCACAAGATGCCCGACGGATGCCCGACGACCACCCGGCCTTTGCAAAATGACACAGGCCTGAGCTTCACTCAGCGCCTGCGACACGTCAGGATGAAAAACAGAGCGATCGCCCGTCATCCTCCATGGCGGCCGTATCTCTTGACCATGCGGAAACATCACATTCACATCTTCTTGCGCATGGCTCCACGACCGACCGGAACCTACCTTCCGGAACATGTGCATGATGGGGATGATCCGGTTGCCTCCCCCAATCCTGGCCCGCCTTGTTTCCATTTCCATTCACTAGGAAGACCTGAGGAACCAGTGGCGCAGCGGAGTCTTCAAAGCAATCTTCGAAGGTTCCGTCCAAAGGTTTCTTCCGAAGATCGTGGCCACCTGGCTTAGCTTAAATTAATCTAAGAATCTCGAAACCAAATCATTCGTGCGTGAGCTATCCTGCATTACCTCTAGCGGCCTACCCCCCCGCGTGCGGGAAAGAAAGAAGAAAAGAGCTGGAGCTACGTTTGTAGCCTCGCCTAAAAGAAAGGAACCATTCTCGCCTTGTTCTCATTTCCGTTCTCCGTTCGGGTCAAGGGGCTGAAGATCTCCACCTGAAGGCGACGTGTCGAGGCAGAACATGCCACTGTCTCGATTCAGAATGCATTCGCATTCACATTATTCAGAGATTTACAACAAGCTATTAGGAACAAGTGCCACGCTAGTAGTAACAAGTGCCTTACTAGTAGTAACAAAAAAGCTATTAGAAACAAGTGCCACGCTAGTAGTACAAATCTCAGAGATTGTGAAACCTTCAACGCGCGCGCTTCACCGATGTGGACGTTTTCACCAGAGTGGGCTAAGTCATGCAGGAAAACACATGCAAATCTGCCGTGGAAAGCTGTGCAAGGCGTCTTTACCCCCGCTTGGCAGGCAGATTGGAAGCTCAAAGAATCTGCACAGGAAACAAAAAGCCAATAGCCTGAGCGTTCAAGTAAAAGTTGCAGATTCGATGTGAAACTCTGAAATTGCCTACAGTCTGCACTGGATTTCTCCATAATTTGGGAAACAATCAGCTCAACATAGTGCTGCCAGGGGAATGAATTAGGTAGCAAAGGTGGCAGTGGCAGCAGTGGCGCATGCAAGACACTTCTCACAAAAAGGAACGAGGATGTGCGTTACACGATGTGTCCTCACGGTCTAAGGAAGAGGAGATCCCGGTTGTAAATAAACAAGTCAAAAAATACAATGGTTCTACCGTTCTACCCCAACATGAAAGAATCACAGCAAGTGGCTTTCGTGGAACGAGTGGAGATGACCTACTGTACCTCCCCCGGACGAACACGGTTTCCGATCTTCCAGTCCAGATGGCGCTGAGCAGCTTGACATAAAAGCCGAGAACCGACCGACTCCACAAGCTGCGCACAGGACTAATTATTGTGTCTAATAGCAAACATTGTTACTACTAGTAAGGCACCTGTTCCTACTAGCGTGGCACTTGTTCCTAGTAGCTTATTGTTCCTAATAGCAAACATTGTTACTACTAGTAAGGCAC